GCATTACCTTAGAAACGACATGAAACGTATCAAGCAGGAGCTCCAAGACCTCTCTGGCCTCGGCCGCCTCTAATCTCTGATTCAATCCGTTCGTCAAGGCCACGAGCGAGTCCTGCACTGAGCCTCTGAACTGTTCGATCTTCTCCCTCAGCTCGACGAGCGGGGCCCGCATGCGGACGACGGCGGAGTCGACGTCGACAAGCTTGGTGCTAAGGTTGACGAAGTCGGCGTAGTCTCGGTTGATGAGGTCGATGAGCTCATGGTTGAGGGAGGCCAGGTAAGACTGGAGCTCGGATCGGAGCGTGTCGAAGGGGACGAAGGTGCGGAGGTCGGAGATGTACGACTCGGAATCGAACTCCGGCAAGAGGAAGAGCGCGGGCTTGAACCAGAGAGGGTGGGAGTCGAGCGGGTCCGAGAAGAGGTTCGCGGCGGATCTGTGCGGCGCTGCGATTGGATCCGCCATTGGAGTTAGATTTTCTAAATTTCTCACTTGCTTTTCTTCTTTAGATTTAGTTACAAAGTGTTTGGATGCCAAGAAAGTGCGTGGGAAAATCGGAATCGAAGAGGTGGTTATGCTTTTACTCCAGAGCCAGAGGGATGTTCGAAAATGAAGACGACTGAATAACCGGGCCGGGTTTTTTTAACGGCAGGTCACTGCGGATCTGGATTCCTATTCTTTTTATAAAAACCTTCATTTTAATTCTTATCTTGACAAAGATAATTTTTAGATTAAGATTATGAATAATAAAATCTAATTTTAATGGCTTGATACATTAATAATCTTATTTATTAAATATTTTTTAATTTATTAATTATTTTATTTCTTCTTAATTTTTAATGTATTAATTTTAAGGAAAATTAATGAAAAGGGTTTGAAAACTTTGAGTTTTAATGATAAGAACAAAATAAAGGGTAAAGTGAATAGTACCAGGATTGACTTTTTAGTGTAAAAATATGGTTTTTCGTTAAAGTGAACAGTACCAGGTGCTTTTCGTTAAAGTTCCCTTAATTTTATTTCATTTATTGTAATATATTTTGTTGTAAATATTTAGATATTTGTTATACAATGTATTTCGATGTCCTTTGTTTTCTTCATTTAGGTACATTAAATTCATTATAATACATTTCGATGTATAGATTTAGGTCTACACATTTCGGTACATACATTTCGATACAAACATTTAAGTACATTAATTCAATATAATACATTTCAGTACTAATCTTTTGGTGCATATATTTCGGTATACACATTTAGGTACATTAATTTAATATAATACATTTCGGTAATAACATTTAAATACATTAGTTCAATATAATGCATTTCGGTACTAACATTTATATGACAACCCATCCCAAATTTTACAATTTTATAAATTTTTAAGGGTTGTTATTCATTATTCTATTCATTTCTTATAGTTATGGTTATTTTTTATTAATTGAGGGGTTAGAGGAGGAAGGTTGCAGGATGGCGGCAAAGGAGAAAGGGATAGAAAGAAGATGGGCACTGCCCAATCAGAAAGAAAGAGAAGAATAGGGGACGAATCAGGGAGAAGGAGAAAGAGAGAGGGGACGAATCAGAGGGAGAAACGGGAGGGAAAGGATGAAGGGAGAGAGGTAGACTACCTGGGTCCCCCTCGACCCGTTTCTCCTTTGAAACTGGACCCAGCGGGAATACATGAAATCCGGTCCTTTCTTCGGTCAAATTCCGGCGAATTGCACCAGGCCAATACCTAGGAACTTCTCCTTAGTCCTTCTTCGATTTCCTACACAAATTGGATGGGATTTGGCCCTATTTCGTGGGATGTGGCGATGGCGACTCTGAGGACACCTGACGGTGATTCGCCGTTTTCTGCAACTCTCCCCGTCAATTCCCACCATCAACCAACTTCTCTTGAGCTCAGGAACAATGCCCAATCGTTGGTTGGAGCGTCGAAATCGATTTGAGGACGAATCAAAGCACATTCACACCTAGGGTTCCGGCGGGGTTTTCATGAAATCTAGGCTTTTCCCGACCAAATTGGCCTTAGTTACAGTTATGAAAGTTGCTCTACTCATTGAGACCTTCATTTCTGAAATTTTTTAGAATTTTTAGAAATAGTTGAAATTTCCGGCAAGTCGGGACGGCCGACCGCCACCCGCGGTGGCGCATGGCTAGGGGGCCGTCGAGGTTATTCTTAGGCTACTAGATACTTTGAGTTCAGTTTTGGTAATTGTATGATACAGGTTGATTGTTAGAATCTAAATTCTCTACATTACGTTAATAGGTTATTATATGAATCGACGATCCGACCGTTGGATCGTTACCAAATTTTAGTATGTTATAGTACGTAATATTTGAGAACCATAGAAACTTACGGATCGGGAATCCGACATACGGATCCTTCCGAATTAGATTTGTAAGTTTATAAAATAAAATGTTGACTACCACTTGATTTTGGACAATTGGTGGAGATCCAACCGTTGGATTATAATGAAACCTTAGGATGTTGTTCTAGAAGTATAATGTGAATCTTTGGAAGAAACGGATCGGAAATCCGTGATGCAGATCTTCCGAATTAAATTACGTAGAGATGCGTTTTATATAAATTATGTATTTTATCAGTCAGAACTCTGAGATGTGATTTGATAATTGGTCATAGGCAACGATGGTTTGTGATGTCTCGACACGTGTGCTAGGGAGTCGTGGCACAAACCTCAGGTGAGTGGGTCTTTTCCATTATATTGTGTATTATATATATATATATATGATAGACAATTCCATAAATGTTTGTAAATCGATTATTGCTTATGATTAATGTGAATGCTTTGAAATACTATAGTGAAATACGAATGACTTGATCCCTGTTTAGGATACGTAGGCAGTCTAACGAGATGTTAGATGCATCCATACATCATTTGAACCAAAAACCTTGTTTGGGAATTGAGCAATGTGAAGGAAATTGGTGAAAATATGATATTTAACCTTATGTTTTAGTGATTGGATGTTGGTCATAAATCAATGTGGAAGGAATCAAGAAACTGAAATAAGGAAACGTAAGTAATGATAGTTAATCTAACTAGTGTTTAGTTGGACTTATCCCCGATCATTATTTCCGAAAATAAATAACTCGGGAGTAGGGCGTTATAGATTGTGCATTTTACGCCACATTATATATATATATATATATTGGAAAAATACTATGATATGGTTGAGTTTTTGTTTTGCATTATGGCATATCCATGGGTATACTACCTGCACAAAATTATTATGAATGCTTTGAAGTGCGAAGATGAACGCGGGACACACATGTAAGTTCAGGTGAATTATGATATTAGTTGAAATGATGGAGTTATGGCATGACTACATGCATGTTTTAAGCAACTCCGACATTGTCGTACGGGTTGCCTATGAATCGTACATGTTATGTTGAGATACATTGAGAGCTCATAAACTTGCACCTCGGTGTTAGTGCTCCCGCCCGTGGCCAGGGCACAGTCCTTAACGTGATGTTCACCTCCCGCACCTTACGCTCACCTTGAATCCAAGGTAAGTGCACAGTTTTGTCGTACAAACCATTATCGGTGGTTCCGACTCATAGGTGACCCGTGATTATTCGCACAGCCTTCACGTGATCGTAGCACTTGAGCGTATTTATTTACACCCAGTCCTGTCGTACAGACCACTTTAGGTGATTCCGATTCGTGTGCAGGTATACTTATTAAGATATGGATAAGTCGTATAGGTCACTAGAGATGACTCCCGACTTATGAGCTAGCATATGTGATGATATATAGATAAGTCGTACAGGTCACCATAGGTGACTCCGACTTATAAGTTAGCATTGATTGATGAGATATGGGTGCAGTCGTACATGTCACCATAGGTGACTTCGACCTACATGCTAGTATGGGTTATTAATCACATGATTATTGATATTACTGATGAGACGCTGTGTTATGGTATATTTATGGTTTATTGTTAATATACTTTTGATTTCACATTGATACGTGACATGATTTTTTGGAATCTATACAGGTGTTTCAGCGAGAGGTTATAATGTTTTAGATGGTTTCTATTCAAATTTCATTTCTAGGGCCACTCACCCTTGTCTTGTCTTCACCTTACAGGTTTTATTAGCTGAGCTTTCTTATCGTTGAAGATTCGTGGCGATTCTTAGTATTGGAGATTATTTCGAGGGTACGATTCCTAATTCACTATTTTGTACTTGCTTATGCTTTAACGTAACGTGTGAAATGAGTTCATTCCCGCTCACCAGTGCATTCTGGTATTTAGGCACTCTTAGGTTTAAATTTATTCACAATTTTCCACATCATCACACTTTATGACTTCGTCACCTTTCAGGTGTCGGCCAGCACAACTCGATTCGGAGTCCTAATGGACAATCCAGGTCGGGGTGTGTCATTTAGGTACATTAATTGAGTCTTTCAAGTTTGAAGAATGTTAAATAAAATTAATAAATTAAAAAACTCTTTTTTGATAAAAAAAAATAAAAATTGTATATTAGTAAATTTAAATATTTAATAGGAGACATTAAATAAAAAGAAAAACTAACTAAAAGTCCAAAAAAACTTCTCTTTTAACGAAAAGTCATTTTTAAATGTATAGTGAATAGTGACAGTTAAAAGTCAAAATGTGGTTTTTCGTTAAAAGTAAACAGTATTGGGATTGTTTTGTTAAAACTCTCTAAATAAAATACACATTGATTATTTTGAATTAAGAACACATTAAGAGATTATATCAATATATAATCTAACACCAAATTTATTTTAAATTTCAATATTCTTAAAAGATTAAAGTTAAGAAATCCCTTTTTAAAATATATTTTCTTTCTCTTCCACTATCTCTCTCTCTCTCTCTCTCCCTCTCTCTCTCCCTCTCCCTCTCCCTCTCTTACACACACACGCCATATCCCATCACTTTTTCCATCACATCTCTCTCCCTCACGGTCCCATTTTCCCTCATTTCAGCCGATTCTTTCTCTCTCTTCCCACTCATTTCAGCCGATTCTTTCTCTCTCTTCCCACTCATTTCTCTTTCTTTCTTTTCTTTTCATCTAACTCTCTCGTCCCTTTTCCCTCTTTATGGCACAACAAATGCAGACAGCAGCTCGCCGCTGTCCTACAGCAGACCACGACATCGCCACCATCTCCGCAACCCTTTCATAACCACGAATCCTTTTCTAACATCTGTTATTCGAAACTTGGAGGAAAAACCTTCAAACCAAGGAGCTCCGACGCGAAGGAGGAACTCTGGCGATACTCCTCGGTGTCCTCGAACAATGTAAGGTTTGAAATCACTCCTTGCATTCCATTCATCATTTTGTTTAACTTTATAACCTTGCATGTGAGCTTTGGTTTCACACTTGTGAGTTTTGAACAGAATAACGGATTCCATGTCCGGCTAGCTGCAGAGAACTCCGGCAAAGATTCTGGCCAAATATTTTCCGTTCTGACGAGAACAGGCCCATTTTGTTCCATCTTCAGGTTATCTAGACCTAGTTCGAGCCTTGCATGCTCGATTCCAGGACTGCTGCAATAAAATCCAACGAAAACCCTTTTCGAGTTCGTGAGAATCCAGCAAAATTCGACTTTCCTAGCCACCTAGGGGCCTTAATTCTGGTATACTTCTATTCCCATTGTTTCCCACTTCAAATTCATATAGCATATGCTTAGTATGGTGAGAAATCTTGGAAAAATAACGACCTTGTTGTACTGTTTTTACAACAAGGACCAAAATGCAAGATTTGTTGAAGCTTTAGGGCTGTTTGGTATTTTTATGAAATTAGGGCATTTTGGACAGATTACCTCTAGTTTTAGGGGGAATTTTGTAAAATGGGAATTTTGGACAGATTAACTATAATCTGCCCATTTTGTGTATGATTTGTATTTTAAGTATTTTGTTAAGCCAATGTGACTTGGTATAGGTATAAGCTTATTCGGATTGACGAATGACAAGGCTTATCGAGAGCAAGCATGCTTTGGTTACGTGAGTGGGTCTTTTCGTTTTTAGTAAATATGTGTATATATGATTTTTCTAGACAACTGTTTTTATATATTATGATGTGACATGTCATGTTTATCTTCTTATAAGATTTTCTATACTTTATATTTTTATTAACTGCGAGTATAAAATGTGGCATGACGTATTTATTCATTATATATGCTCATTGTTGCATGTGTGCACGATGTTTATTAGTTAGTTGTACTGTCATGGGTTAAGGACTAGCTTTACATGTATGTTAACATGCACCATTTACGTTCGTTTTGGATCCAAAGTTAGGTGTCAGCCTGTCCTTAGGTTTGTTGTTATGTGATGCGCATAGCACCAGCTTCACGTGATGTAGTACTAAATGTAAAATCTACACCCAGCCTATTCATGCAGCTACTTTCTGTATGGCTTGTGTGCCTACATAGATAATGAGCAGTGATTTTCATAGCAGTGAATTTTTAATGATTTTCATAACTGCAATTTTATGACAGCTATTTGAGTTTTGATAATGAGATATTTCGTAGTAGCACCCTATACCCTTTAACTCATTTGTGCTGCAGGTTCCCTACAACCTATTATTATATTATTACTTTCGGAAATCATATACTTATTTTATAGTGAGGGGTTATACATTTTCAAAAATGTTTCAGAAAACTTTATTTTCTAGGCCCACTCACCTTTGTTTTAGCCCCTCAAGAACGTAGAGATTGAGCTAGTGGGAGTACGAGGTTTTAGTGGAAGTAGCTAATTGTCCTGCAGTCAAAGTAGGCTGCTTATGTACTAAATAATCATCCTTTACGGATGAGACAACTTTTATCTTTCTACACTATGCTCTGAACTTCACGTTTTGTAATAAGGGTTACCACCCAGTCACGTTGTGCACTCTGGATTATTTATTTAAAGTTTAAATTTATCCTCACTTTTACACATCAACCTTACTTTACGGCTTCGTCACCTTCCAACTAGAACATGACTCGAATAAGAGGATACCTGCAAATAAAGATATGACACTACATAATAATAATAATAACCCCTAATGTAACAAGAAACTAAACGAGACGGAAGCACCAAATACATAAACCAATGGTCTAGTGCTGCAATATCATATGAGAGATGAAAGCTCTCAAACTAATTGTGGGATACAAAAATGAGATGCTCCTATCTTGATTATGCAGAGAAGGACATCACGGCTCCAATACACCTGATAATCCCAAAGCATCACGCAATAGATCCAACAAACTCAACCACTTCACATCCAAGTTTGATCGTAAAAGGCTGCCGGACGTGAGAGATCTAGCCCGGTCCACCTGCCACCAACGTGGAATTAAGGATTTTTATCTTCTCTGTATCTGTCTCTATTTATTTAATTTATAGAAAGACACGTCATCGATCCATGGAATTATTTTTTGTTACTAAAATTCAACTAACTATTTTGGATCAGTAACATTTTTTAGATTATACAAGCGATATTGAGAAAATGATGCCTTGATCGGGATGGCAACAAAGTGGGGTGGGGTGGTGGGTGGTGGGTGGTGGGTGGTGGTGGGGTACTACCTCCATCCCCGCCTTCGTTGATGACTTTTTCCCCTTACCGTATTTATTATCATCTTCTCAAACGGGGATTCCCCGTCCCCTAAACCTGCCTATCATGAAAAAATTCAATCTATAATAAACCTGAAAACAAACTGTTTTACTGTTCATAAGAACAGTGTTCTACCGAATTTGACCTCCCATGTTTACTCTAATCTCGGTTTTACCCTTTTGTACACGTGTTGATCTGCTCAGGGTTTCTATATGCTTCCAGTTGCTTCCAATTGCTTCCATTTTGTATGCAGAAATTCAAAGCACGCAGAGATCTCGAGTCAAAAACAGAGGTACCCATCCCCTTTTGTTCGATTTTTGCTTTGTTTTATCTCTGTTTTCATTTTTGGGTAGGATTTTGTGCTTTATAACTGGGTTTAATGTGAAATTTTTGAAGCAGCTAAATCTCATTCAGTTCTGTTTGATTGATTGTTTATCTATGATTTGTTCTGTTATGCTTGGTAGGTTTAAATTGAATTGGATTTGTATTTGATTCGAGTTGATTAATTTTTTTTTTAGTTGTAAATCATATTAGTTACAGATCATGAAACAATTTCATGTTTGGTTTAAGATAATAGGCTTGATTCAATGAGATTTGGATTCATGAGTTATAGCCATCTGAGATAGGCAAGAGTGTTTGCATTCTGTAGAAAAAATTTAGGAGCTACAAAACTATTCTTTAAATTTGAGTTTTGTGATTACTATTTTTGTTCTTTATCTTATTAAAATTTTGAGGATTCAATGAGATTTGGATTCATGAGTTATAGCCATCTGAGATAGGCAAGAGTGTTTGCATTCTCTAGAAAAAATTTAGGAGCTACAAAACTATTCTTTAAATTTGAGTTTTGTGATTACTATTTTTGTTCTTTATCTTATTAAAATTTTGGTAAATTTTCAGCAACTCTTGCACAGCGAAATGACTCTCACCACCCAACAAACGCAACTGCTACAATTTCAATTGCAGCTCTTGAAGAAAGGTAAAGCCTATGTTCTGTACAAAGTGTTGGATATTTTTATATGGGGTTTCATTTTTTGTGCTTTTTTTTTTCTCTTGAGAATATTAATATTGTTGAGTTATTAAATTCGACTATTGCATGGTTTAAATTTTACTTCAAATTGTAGTAATTGTCATACAAGTTTATATTTTTGTATAGAATTGCAGACAGTTTGAATTTTGGATGAGAGTTTAGAATATTTATAAGTTGGTTCTGTTGTGGGATCTCCATATAGAAAATTTATCCTACTCTGTATTTCAAAAATCATAGGTTAGATTGTCTACTCTAGCTATACAATTCTTCCATGTTTTTCAAATCATGGAATGAGTTTCTCATGCTGAGATTGTAACCCAATCAATAAGTAAGTGAAACACAGAAGTTCTATATCGCATGTTAGTTTTAATCCATTTCTAAAAATCCTATGCATGGTACAAGAAAAACATTTCTTTGCTGCAAAGAAGAGTGAAGTACTGAACAACAATGTGAAAAGTTGGGACCTAGAAAACAAGATATTTTTAATGTGTATTATAACTACATGGATGTAAATAAGATAATTTTTACATATCAATTGTTCTTTATAGAACATAGGGATGTAAATAGATTTTGATATGAAACTGGAAAGAAGAATACCAAATGAAGCACTGATTTATTGAGATATTTATTTTTGCATGGAAAAAAATTGATATTTTTTGTCCTTGAAAAAGGTATGCCATGTTTTTAACGTTTTGGGTTTTACATGTTACTTCGACTTTTATTGTTTGCCTCCTTCAGCATTACTTACATTCATTTTCCAGTATTGGCTGATAAAAATTTATAAAATAGTTAAGACTTTAATTAGAAAGTTTTAGTCATATTTTTAGTCATATGTTATGTGTCATTCCAATTCAAAGATCGGAAAATGACTGAAATAATATTTACTTCCTTCTGTTTTTTCAAATTTCCTTTTGGTCCAATTTTATATTTCATTTCTTTGTGACTTTTTGTAGAACTTGGAACCAGCTTTTCACATAACATGGATGATGAATGCAAGAAACTCATACACAGAATAACTCCACCAAGGTATATGCAAATTAAAATCATAACTTGCGTCAATATAGAAGTATAAATTATTTTTTATCACACAACTTTGATAGAATAATTTGTCTCATAATTTAAAATATTGTAAATATTTTAGCTATCTGGCAATCAACAACTAATATCACTTCCAAGAAGGTAAGATCAACATATGATATGTCACAGCAGTATATTTTTCACAAATAGATGGTAAAGTTGTACACATCACATTAGGCAAGTTCCAATCTTTTTTACTTCCATTTTAACATATTTCTAATTAACATTTTGTTCTAAATTTTGATTAAACTTTATTTAAATGTTTGATTTGTGAATTTCACAAGTCGAATTACCACCACTGTCTCTCCACTCTCTCCCAAAACTCAATTTTGAACTTTTTATGCATCTTTTTTTTTTTTTTTTTTTTTTTTTTTTTTTTGAATCATTGCCTAACTGTCTTTATTACATTTTGCAGTTGTATTCACAACTGTCCAAGACACTCTCTGGAATTTATTACAACAAAAGGTCAAATTTTCCTTCTTTGGAAACACCTCAAGCTAGGAACAAGTCTGGTATCCAAGCTTTACATTCAACATTGTTTAGCAGCATGTAGCAAGCTTTGTTTGACTGGTATACCTCTCAATACTGCATTTGTAAGTTATGCAGTTATCATTAGTCCAACTTTTTGAATGAACAATTATCTTCTTCTTTGCACTTTGAAAGAACAGATTTTTCTCTTGGTATCCAAATTTGTTCCGTTCATGATAATACATATAAATTGAATTGCCATTCATAATTCTCTGTTTTCACTCAACATTATTTATGAAAATTGAAGCTATAAAATATCTCATATAATTTTTAATCCCGCATTTATATTCATGTGAATATGTAAAAATGTATATACATTTTTATATTTTCGCAAGGTGAGAAATATACTGTTCACATTTATAATTGTAATAGTGATCTGGAACATATTCTCTATCAGAATGATGATTGAGATAATATTGTTTAAATCATTATCTCCTTATCACTAAATATTTTAGTGCAATACTAATAATTTCACCGCTAATGAGAACCTTATCTGTGATTTTCTTTTGTGTTGTCACTTCAGATTTTACTGATTGATGTATTTCTTGAAGGTGGTGATGTAATCATAAGAAAAAGTCTGAGTTCTTTAGTTCATTGCAAATCGACCCATTGCCAGGTATCTCTCTCTCTCTCTCTCTCAAGATATTACCAATTAGGTGTATTTATACTCTTATTGGATGTGAATTTTAGTATAATGATGTAACTGCATGATAACCTATGCATCGTTTGGAGTTTAAATATAACACTTAAATTGTGGGCAAATGTAAATGTGAAAGTACGGATAAACTATAACCTCATCCATCATTTATTGGAGAGATCACTCAAGTTGTGAAGAAATGTAAATAGCCATTTTATGAAGATTATTAGCACTTAATGTACAATTGTATTACATAATTTTTGTGAAGAATATATTTATCAGCACAATGTGCTTTAAAGAAAAAAAAACAGTTTGTAAAGTAGGAGAAACAGCCAGGTGCCACTGTGTAAGATTCTAGGGACTGCTGAATTGGAATACTCAGAGAAACGATATGCATCTGGATCACTAATAATGTTTTTTTGTGTGTATGTATCTCATATGTTGAAGGCACCCTAATATTAGTAGTCAAAATGGAGCAATTTGTCTGGATATTTTGAAAGACTAATGGAACCCAACTCTGACATTTAACTGCAGAGATTGTTGGGTCTAAAAATAAGAAAATGGAGAGAGTAACACGACACTACTACTCGAAATTGGCTTTGGGTAAGCTTCCACTCTCTTCTATTTATAATCTCTTTGAGAAGTGATTTTCGTTGCTGGTTGAAAGAGATAATGTCAAATTCATATATGAACTAAGAAAATAATATGCATGTATAATGAAGTGGAGTTTTTCCTAACATTAAAAAAACTGAAAAACTAGAGCTGCTCTACTGTTTATGCAGCGAGCAAATGGAAAGAAAGGAAAAACAGTTAATTTAATGATCCATTTTCTCAATCACTCCACATTTTCTGCAAGCTGAATCGTTCATATCTTTCAAACTAAATAGTTTTTACTTTTCTGTGTATATATTATGTCTTGCATTCTTTTATTAGTTTTTAAACTATAACCGAGTATATCTTAGCACTACAGCTTTCCATAAAGTGGTTCCAATAATATAGTTTCATTTATAAAAATCTTACGCTCTCTTTTACTAATTTTTGTTACACTATCAATCACTCACAGGTCATACTATTCATAAAGTGGTTCAAAGGATTCCAAGAGCTGCATTTACCCAATTTATGCGTTTCATGTTAAACTTCTTTCAAAAAGCTCAAACATCTTTCAGTGTTAATATACATGAACCTTCTTTAATAATCTCTTATAGCTTCGAAATATGTTTTTTTTACACAGTTACTAACCCCGTAGCAACGCGCAGGCCATTATAATCTAGTGATCTCTAAATTTTGATTATGCAACACAAGATAATCAATAATCAACTAGCTTAAGAAATGTAAACCAAAAAAAGCTAATAACAACCGGTTAGTATTACAGTCTAATGATATTTCCCTTCATTTGTAAGTAAAAGATTTTAGGTTTGATTCTCATCAAAGACGAATTTGAACCAAATTATATGGATAGCCCCCACCTCTTAGTGTAGATAATATCATATGTACTTCAAATAAAAAGCTAATAACAAAGTAAATAACTTCAAAAAAAATTCACACAATTGTAATAGCAAGGAAATATAATACATTGCACGACTAATAAAGATGACTCACAAACATAATTTATTAGAATTGCATCTATAGTTTAACATACGTAATCGGGGTCGGGTAAGGGTCAGGGAATGGCAATACCATCACCGCTCCATACCCGAGTTGGGTTTATGAAAAAATCCCCAAACCCGCCTTATAACCGTTTATTGTCTTCCATAACTGCCCCATTAGACTTAATTAGGTATCTGCGGATACTTCCGTGAACCTTTTTGCTATTCCTATGCCTTGGTGTGTAAAGAAGAACACTCTCAACCTACAGCCATATGATTTATTGTCGCTTTCATGCAGCACTATGATTTATTGGTCAATGAGCACTAAGGAGTAGTCAGAATTTTTTCTCCACTTGTTAAATTATATGGATCTTTTCCCTGCCAGTTTGGTTTGAAAAGATAAAAATGAAAAACATTTAGCCAATTACAAAACAAAAAGACGAGAAAACTGGTTTAAGAGTTTCTTCCCTCTTCTTTTCTTTGGTCTACATAATATTATGCTTCATATTGTTTGACAGGAAAACTAATGAAAAGGGCTTGAAAACTTTGAGTTTTAATGATAAGGACAAAATAAAGGGTAAAATGAATAGTACCTGGATTGACTTTTTAGTGTAAAAATGTGGTTTTTCGTTAAAGTGAACAGTACCGGGAGCTTTTCGTTAAAGTTCCCTTGTTTGACACGAAAGAAAAACATTTTAACATAACGTCCTCAAGCTTTCTCATAAAATATGAAAGACGAAAAAAGCCTCAAAATATCAATGTTTTGGCATCCCCGTATATATATATCTTTTGACAGTCTAAAGAATCGATAAAAAGAGTTGTACGGATGACTATTCCGTAGATTCTCTTGATCAACATCATCCAAACAGTTTGGAATAAAAAGAAAAAAACATTCCGCAAAAGCAACAACACAACAGAAACAACAACAACGAACCAACAAAAAAAAGATGGATGAATAAGCGATTAGGTAAGAATCAACCTAATATTTTGACCGCCATATGATGGTTACATAAACAGTACTTAACAAGGAGAGATAGACACTTAGCCAAGTGATTTATAAATTATGAACCGACTAATTAAGCATCTCCTATTCCTTGAATAAAAATTTAGTAATGAAGAGACAAGACCAAGCATGCTCTATATTAAAGGATGACGATCTGTTTTTTTGTTTTTAAACGAACTGCAGTCCATAAAAATTGTTGTTTTTAATTCAGATGAGAATATATGAAAGCAACTAAATAGCCATCTATAATGCTATGTATATATCAGTCAAATGTATTATACAACGTACTATTGTTTCGTTATCTTGTAATGCAATCTCATGTTGTCGGATAAATATTTTGAGTTTAGACTAGATAATTAGGTAAGAATCAACGTAATTACTCTTTAAATACATATGTATAGATAATCTTACAAGTGAACATTTGTAAAAGTTCGAGTGAATGCATTGAGTGATAGATTAGATTACTTGGATTACAAGCAACGTGTTTTACAGGTTGCCTGAGATACAAGATCCCGTTTGGTGGGTTGGATGGGATAGGTTGTGATCAATTAAAATGGACTTGAGTTCAACTATTGCTTGTTGTGTCAAAATGTGAAATGGATAAGCTAGACATGATGAGTTATGAATCCACAATATAGTATGTTATCTAACTTATCTTTATACATGGGCTACAAGTCATGTTTTACAAGTTCATGTCAATCCAATCATATCCTTAAGGTTCAATCTCATCTAGCCCACCAAACAGGCCCTAAGTGTAATGGAAATCTTGATATCGGGAAAATCAGGGAGTCTTTGCTCCACGCAGCTGACTTATAGGAATCCTTATTAGGATTCAATGCAAAGATATCAAATCAATATAAGACTCGATTATAATTAAAGTTGATAGGGTTGACTTATACAATTGTCAATAGTTCGGTTGTGTAAAAGCCATAGCTATGTATGAGGTTTAATCCCAGCTTCCACACGTTGAACTCCTAGAAATACTGAAACCTATTTATACAGTAAAGGAACTATTAAGTGCTGGAAGTAGAAGATGATCTCGTGCTTTCATCAATGGCGTCCCAGTAATGTAGGTATTCTTGGACCCTAGTTGCCATTGCATACTTGTTGCTTACATGAATTGTCTAGGTTGTATTGTAACCTAGTACTAGGTTGATGTAATCTAGTTATACACCTTACATGTGGTATTACAGCCACTCAACGTGGCTAGGGTTCATCATTAAACCAAAACTATTGAATATTATTGACTCTCCATATTTCTTGTATTGGTACGGTTATGTTTGTTCAAATTTTGTAAGGAAAAGATTCTTTACAAGAAAATTGAAAGGACTGCTCGAAAAAAAACAAATGGAAAATCAGAAGACTTTTGAATTCATACTTCATTCAAAATCGAACCAATGAATGATATATGAATTATTAACACAAGAATCTCAACATCTAATTTGCTCAAGGGTGTCTACACTATTGTGTGGGACCATAATTTTTCAAGGCCGGAGTAAGTGTGATCGGAATACAGTTACTTAATAAGTTCGGTCATGGACTCACCAGCTCCGAGTGGAGCTGTATTAAATGGAGTAGCGGTGCCACCATCACTCTACTTTGGGACATTAGGTGGAGTCCTAGCTACTCTTCTAGATGACCATGCTTGTTCTGCAAGACACGCGATCTGGTCCAGATGGACATAATCAGATTCTTTAAGTCTTGGAGTTCATACAACCTAAGGGTATTGGAAGTAATCATAACTCCTATGATGATGCAATATCTACTTCTAGATATCTTCTAGGATTCTCCCGGCTTAGCACAAGGATTATATCCTAAAAATGTCTATCTCCCCATGGTATAAATACACCCACCTAGGGTTCATCTATGATACCGCAATCTAAATGCTTGAATTTTCTTGCATGCTACTTGAGTCTAAAATTATTCACTAACTTGACCGTCGGAGAGCCTTTGATCGGCACACCCTCTAGTTTTAAGCTTGCTCATGGTTGTTTCACTGTTTTGGAGGTTGCTCGGATTTGCGCTCGACTACCGCTCATAGAGGTGTGTGAATTTGGTTCCAACAATTGGTGCTTTCATTGAGAAGGAACTCATATTCCTCTCAGCCAAATCACTATACCAATAGGCATATCAGAAAACTCAGTTAATCATGTCAGCTTCGCTGCCTCTCAGAGAAGTACCCATCAAGGGTACGACTCCCCACAATGGCATTCTTGAACGGACTGGTTAAATAAGATAAAGGTTCTTCTGTCCAATTATCACCAATTACTCCGCTATCTGACTCTCTACGGGTAAAGGAAATCAAAGGAGATTAGTCGGTGGCGCCCTGCTGCAATGTTGAAAGCATGAATATGATCTGGAAAGGAGAACAAAGTTCCAGTACATACAAGGACAAAACATCATAACAATCATATGAAAACACCATATACATTACCTGGACCTTGACCCGCAGGATGATGGCACGCCAGAGTCAAAAGCGGATGAAAATGCCATATACATTAGCTTATTACAGACAAACCGGAAATGAAAGCTAAAATCGGTTCGAAGTTGACCGATACAGAAAATGAACTATTCCAAACTTAGCGGGAATGGAGGGTGGGGGTAGATTTTTATCACCCATTATGGCTGAGGCAGCTGTTATCCGTTTGGCTATGGAGATGTGTATGCTAAGGGATATTCCCAAATTAGGTGAGGTGCTGGAGGTTGAAACCGATTCAAAAGGATTGGTTCAAATGCTCAACAAAGAGATCCAAACTGATGTTTCTACAGAGGTCTTTTTGGTTGATTTTTGGAATATGATGAGGTCATTCCAGTCGGTGAAGTCACCCCTCAGCAATGCAATTGTGCAGCCCATATAGTGGCGGTGTACGTTCTGAAGCATGACGAGAGATTTGGCTAGGATGAATTAGGACCAGAATTTCTGTCTAATATTTTAACAGAAGATGCAAATGTTTCCACTCGTACTTGATTATTAATACAATTCTACTTTCGACAAAAAAAAAAAAAAAAAAAAAAAAAAAACCAAACACCATGGCCACTAATCGTGACTCATCTCCTACTTTTGGAGTTAACAAACCAGATGCAAAAAAAAAAAACATCCTTCCAACCCTTATTACGTACACCATTCTGATCATCCTAACCTGATGTTGGTCTTCAAACCATTGAATGAAGACAATGTTGGGGCTTAAAAAGACTTCACTACTTTGGAGATGTTTATTTCACAAAGAAGAATGTAATGTAGCGGAATTGATAGGCAAGAGAAAGAACACTCAATGTATTACACAAGATTTTTATTCACTCATAAACTTAGTACAAGAGGAAACACTCAACTACTCTTAGAAGCTTTGTTGCTTCTTCTCACTTCTCACTACTTGCTCTCTTGGTTGTTTCAAATGGTGTGGATGCCTTCTCCTTTTATAGGCATGGATGGAAACTTGGAAAAGCATGGAAGTATCATGCTAGAGATATCTAGATAATTCCACTACCTTCCTAAGCTAGAATTATCTACATTAATCTTGTATGTTGGTGGAATCCTCACCATTCTTCTAGACTCTTCCACCAACTTGAACTTTGCTAGAATTCCCTAGCATGTGCATGGATCTTTCTTTGTGTATGGGCTAGATC